GGGGAAATAATGGAGTCATCATCTCTGGAGATGTTTGAAAGCTGTATTGATGCGGTGCTCGGGGACATGGTTTAGTGGTACACCTGGCATTGTGAGGTTAATTATTGGACCTGATAACCTTAAAGGTCTTTTCCAACTTAAATGATTCTATGATTCTACTTTCCAAGTAAATGTCTAAATGATAGTGGATATTTGAAGGTGGAATCATTTGAGATTCAACTACCTGCATGTCAGTGACTAAATATTTCTGTAAGTAAGACAAGTGGCTAAGCTCCCATATAGCTGTTGAGCCTAAGCTGACAGTCCATTGAACTTGGAGCTGGCCAAAGATGGATGTCTAGAGGCCTTCAGAATCAGTTAGGTTCTGTTTTTTTCAGTTCCAGCTAATCTATTTGCAAGATGAAGTTTGTTGTGTACTCTAGATAAAACTGCACCACTAAATTAAGAAGTGTTAGAGCATGAGCGCTCCTCTCCTCTCCTCTCCTCGTAGTGACTTCCTCTTAATTTCTTTGATTTTTGAGAACTTTCACTCATTTCTCTAAAGAAAAGTTTTGCATTCTGCTTCTTAGTGAAATTTTGATGTTCTCCTTGCAATTCTTAAATAAGTTTCCAGCCCTCTTAATTTCTTTGATTTTTGAGAACTTTGACTCATTTCTCTAAAGAAAGGTTTTGCATTCTGCTTCTTAGTGAAGTTTTTATGTTCTCCTTGCAATTCTTAAATTTAAGTTTCCAACAATTTTCCTTCTAGTCACTATAAACACCAATATATTAGCTGGGACATATGCTAAATACATACTCTGTAAACATGATATCTTCATTATTTTTCCTTCTAGTCACTATAAACACCAATATACTAGCTGGGACATATGCTAAATACGTACTCTGCAAACACAGTATCTTCATTACTATTCAACCTCCATTTTTCTTTCCATCTGAAGACTTGCAGTTATCTTTTATATTTTCAGTTCTGCAGTACTGGCCTTCCTGTCTAGAGGTCTTTATTCTCCCAGAGTCAGATCTCATCCCAATGTACCAAGACATGGAAAGACAGGGATAGATGACATGAGTACTAACTGGCTAGAAGAGGTCACTGTGGAGTATTTGAAGCTGATGGCATCTACTAAGTTTTACATGCTAATATCTCTGCTGACAATTAAAGTGACAAGCTGTGTATGTCTCTTCAGGAGACATGTCAACAGCTTTGTCACTTGTCTTGCATCTCCACTCCAAGGTCAGCCTCTCTTTTTGGAAATTATTCAGCCGAAAGTCCACATGAGCATCACTTGAAAAGATACTGAAGGTTTCTGTTGCAGGTAGATCATCTCTTGGTGCAGAGTTTAAGATTATTCTCTACGTAGTGTTAAGGATATTTTCACAATAAATCCCAGGAGTCCCATAGATACCATCCCTCCCTGGTTTTTTTTCCTCTGTGTTTCCCATCTGCAGAAATGCGGGTGTGGATCAAAAAACATCACTTAATCTCCCCACAGTCCCTTGGGATCCTTTTTTTGCATAAGAAAATTTTCATTACCACCTTGTCAATAGGTAGTTCATCTTCTATATCTTCTTAATTTAATTTGCATTCCTTTTATTCTTGTGTAGAATATCAGTGACAGGTGGCTATGGGTCCAACTTGACCACTGTTATCAGCTTACACATAGCTAGGAAATATGTGATTACTTTTCTAGGGAAGTGATTTTTTGTCTATTCTTAATTCTTGCTTTTTAGCAGTTTGTAACTGCTCATTCAATGATCATTCTTCTTAGGACTTCCAGGAGCTGTTACTCTAGCCTTGAGTGCAAACCCTTCAAATCCACAAATAAAAGTCACTGAGTCTTGAATTTTCCAATCTTTTCCTGTCCTGAGGATTATCTAGACCATTTCTACTCTTCTAAGTTTTCTTGCCGTACCTCATCTTTAAGACCTTTCTTCCCCATACACAAAGTTTTCACCAGATACTAATGGTTTCTTTGAGTGATGAAAATTATCAATTTTTTGCACAATTTGGGGAATTTCCTGAAATAACCTCCCGCAACTGGTCCTAAAGATTGATTTTGACTGTACACCTTGCCTTTATAGTTACATTTGCATTTTGGGGGCCAGTTAGCTCACTTGGTTAGAGCGTGGTGCTGATAACACCAAGATCGCGGGTTCGATCCCCGTTCGGTCCCCATGTGTTGCCTGATCTAGTTGAGAGGCGTCCCTGCCCATGACAGGGAGGTTGGATTAAATGATCTCTGAGGTCCCTTCCAGCCTAGGCCATTCTATGATTCTATGATTTTCTTTTAGAGACAACGAAAACAAGGCTCCATTCTTCCATGACTATTCAATGATATCTGGATGGTCCATATTTCTTGGTTATTTTCTTTTTTCTCATATTATTCTCTTTGACTAATAATTCAAAATCTCTTTCCATAATTTTATAAACTTTTCATCACATGTCCACGTAAAATTTTTTTGGCAAGACTTAAGACAGAGGCCATTATTTCTGGGAAAGAGGCCTAGAACTGAAGGGAATGATAACTTTTGATGTGCGTTCTCATGACTTGGCAGATTAGCTGAACAGCAGTACGATTCATTCCTAAGCAATACATTTGGATTATTTATTGATTGACTCTGTGTTTGTCTGGCTTAGAATAACACAATACACAGCATTTAACAGCAGGTTCACAACGTTTCTTTTGCTGCTATTTTTATCTGGCTCTCTGGAATACTGAACGTAAGAAAGGAAAACTCTTCTCCTGCAGGTGAATCAATCTCTTCCATCATTGAAAGCGCTATTCATAGACCCAAGAGTGCTGGCCCTTCAATCTCCTTTTGTTTTCTTCCACTAGTATAACTCCAGATCAAAACTCCAATCACGTCTGCAACACAATATATGATCAGGCTATACTGTCCTAGCAGCTGTGTTTTAATATCTTTACCATTTTGTTAGGTAAATCCAGAAAACCTCAAATTTACAAGTCTTTGGTTTCCTGTCTTTATGCGAGTACAGACTTAGATACACATAGAACAGGCTTGTTGGTTTGTGTTCCTTTCACATAGTATTGATTTGAAAAAAAGCAGAGAAAAGTGATTCCTTCCTTTTGTAGTCCACACAGTCCACAAATCTTCCCAGTAAACTTCCAAGTTTAATTCAATCATAACTCACAGCAAAATACACTTTTTGGATTGCAAATCTCACTGATTTTGCACATCAGTATGTTTTACTCTCCAGACACAGATTGTATAATTTATTTTTATAGTCCTTATGTTGTCTCTCTTTTTTTTTTTTCGAATTGGCTTTAGCATAAGGTTTTCTCTGAAGAGAAAGAAATGTTAATGGTTTCATGAAATCAATAAATTGAATATTTTACCTCTTTTTCCTTTTCATGGAACAAAAGTCATAGGTATCTATCCAGAATCCTAATAGAGGTGAAGTTCATTGTGAGGCCAAACGTGGTGGTGTAGCACTAAGAGCCATTGGAGGCCAGTAGAGCTCTTGTTTTTGTGACCATGCTTGTTTTGCTGTTATTTTCTCTTTTCTTGCTCCCATTTGGCTCCTTACTTACCTCTCACGTTTTCAAAATTGCAGTTCCTGAACT